TAAAGGGACGGTTGCCTTTCGAACAGGAGGATCCGGGTTTGAATCCTCAGCATCCACAAAGAAAACTGGTCATGGCTGAAAATGCGAAGCAGAGACAGATTCTGAGAGACCGCGTCTCAAGGCACCACGGCCAGTTCTAAAATCTTGTGAATTTTTAAGAGACTAGTATACCGAATAGGTAAAAACTCATCTTGACATGGCAGCGCTTCAAATGGGCCATGGCAGTCACTGGGTTGGGTTGGGAGAGGCGGAAAGGGTGGTGGTGCTGCCTGCCCTCTGGGAAGAGGCTCGGGCTCTGCCCTCGGTCACCCTGCTGAATGTGGTGGCAGGACTTCCTCACTGTTCAGACTGGCCTCAGTAGCCCAGAGCAGGGAACACCAGGAAGAGGCTCACACAGGAGTGGGAATAGGAGTCTACCTGCCCCTCCTCCTCCTGAAGGGCATCTTGCTCCCAACAGCTTGCAGCTGAACAGGAGAACCACTGCCAAACCACTGCTTACACAGCAGCGCACTTCCGAGGAGGTACACCAAATATTTGTTGACTGAGCTGTGTCTTCCTTCTGACTTACACGATGGTCCAGATATGCGCTGGCATCTGTGCTCGAGGGTGGGTCATCCGGCTGGGACCGGCTCCAAACACTTCCTATCCCTCAGTCTTCCTGAACCAACCTACAAGGCGGTATTTATTTTGGTTTGTAAGAATGGAAACTCTCTGAGTCACGGATGGTGATGCCGTCTTTAATCCTAGCACTTGAAAGGCTGAGGCAGGTGGATCTCTGTGAGGTCAGCCTGGTCTACATAGCAAGTTCCAGGCCAGCCAGGCCTACATAGGGTCATAAAGAGACCTAGTTTAAAAAAAAAAAAAAAACAAAAAAAAAAAAACGAAAAGAATGAAACCTTCCTTCTAGGAATTTCCTCATTAGGCAAGCTAATATGCTCTTGGTCTCTGTTGTTTTCTTCAGCTTATTTATTTATATTTTTGTTTTGATTTTTAAGGTTTTATTTACTTTCATTTTTATGTGTTCTGTCTGCATGTATGTTTGTATACCCTCTGCATGCCTAGTGCCAGGGAAGGTCAGAAGAGGGTGTGAGATTTCCCTGGACTTTGAGTTACAAACATTTTACATACAGATTTTCCTTAGTTTTTAGTTCCGTGTTTGTCTGTATCAGTGTGTAGTATGTGCAAGTACCCAAGTTGACCAGGATGGACATTGGATCCTTTGTCACTGGAGTCACAGGCAGCTGTGATTGGTCCAATGTGGGTGCCGGGGAACCGAATTCAAGTCCTCTGGGAAGGTGGCAAACATTCTCAATTGCTGAACCATCTCTCTGGCCACATCCCCTTTTTCTGTTGTTTGTTTTTGTGACAAGGTCTCATGTAGCCTAGGCTAGCCTTCAACTCCCTATGTAGTTAAGAGTGACCTTGAACTTCCGGTCCTCCTGCTTCTTGATGTCCATGTCCCGTTTGTGCAGGGCTTTGTGCATTCTAGCCGAGAACTCTATCTAGAGCTGAGCCACATTTCCAGTCTCTCTGCTGATTTCTTTGTGGGTAGCAACTTGAGAGGTTAATTACCCAAAGCAGTGAGACCACCCCACGGCCCCGGAAGCTCTCCGGTCCCACCCACATCTGGAATCTCTGGACACAGGTACTTTGTTCCCCAACTCCTCCTGGTCAAAGCAGAGAGAAAAGAAAGATGCACAGGCCCAGAACTTCCCCTTGCTGGCCTGTGTTCACTGCTGGCACGGTGAGGCCAGAGCGTCGCTGTAATGACCCACCAAGCACAGAGCCTCCATCACCTCCTAAGCTGGGGATCCGGGAATGGTTCTCCAAAAAAGGCATGAGCTTCTTCTTGCCAAATGTGTGGGAAGGGAGAGTCTTATACTCACAGACACTCCTCAAGGACGCTTGAGCCCAGACCTCCCCCCCAGCCCCGCCCCCACCCCACATCATCTGACCACTTCGCTCTCTCCCATAAGGCCCCCAGAGGCTCTCAATTGCTTCCAGGATGCATTCCAAGCTGCAGGTCTGGCCCTCAGCTTCCCCGCTTCTCAATTTGGTCCCAGCTATGTCTCTGGCACCATCTCCCTCCACCACTGTCTAACTCTCCATTCACCCCGGAGTCCAACTCATGCATTGTCTAAAGGCTGCCTTCCAGCTCCTCCTCGGGGCTGCCAAAAAATGCCTCCCTCCAATGGCAGCCTGTCTCTTATTAATGGATGCCATCAGGACGGCATTACCGAAGATGCTGACGCAGGCAGTGCCCAGCTGGTTCGAGCACGAGGCCTCTCCCCGGGGGCCCACGCTGCCCCTGGGACTGCACCTGGACAAATCTCATGCAGATTGATTTCCAGTTCTCCACGAGAGCAGCTGCGGAGCCCTCCCACCCCCAAAAGCTCCCTGCTGTGGAACAGAGGCAGTTGTATTAGGACACATCACAGCGTCTTGTTGCCAAAGTGACAGCTACAATTATGCTTCGGCCGACAGCTGGGGAGGAGAGGATGCGCAAGCAGCCCGGGGCCTCACGTGTGTCCATGAGTCAGCAGTCTGTGCTGTGTACCCAGCTAGAGGTGGGCTGGGCTCCTCCTGCCGCACTCCGGGTCCTCTGCCGGCTGCCTTGGTATTGCCGACAGGACTCAGGGAGAACCTGGAACCCTGGAACCAGGACCCAGGGGAGCACAAGAGTCAGGTTTCCAGCCCCAGACAAGACACCGCCCTGGGGGACAGGCACTTGGTTCCAATGCCAAGCCAAGGAAGGGCCAGTATGTTGGGTAGCCTGACCTGGGTGTAAAGGTCGGGTTTCTGCCGAAGCCCTACTGTTCTGTCATGAAGCCTGACCCTGTGCTACACACTTCCAGCTCACAAATGTGTAGGTCTGTGTGTCTGAGTGTGTATATGTGTGTGTGTGTGTGTTCCTGTGTGTGTGTATGTATGTGTGTATGTGTACCTGTGAATGGGCCTGTCCGTGTGTCTGTGTGTCTGTGCTTGAATGCACAGAGGTCAAACAATAGAGTCAGGTACCTTGCTCTATCATTCCCTGGCTTATCCCCTTTGAGATTGGTTCTCTTGAACCTAGAACTTGCCACTTTTCAGCTACACTGACAGCCACCAAGCTCCATAAATCTTCTATCTCTCACACCTCATAGCATTGAGGTTATAAGCACATGCATTCAGGCCCAGTTTTTAAAATTTTATTTATTTTTATATACATTTGGTGTTTGGCATACATATATGTCTGTGTGCGGGAGTGGGAGTCAGATCCACTGGAATTTGAGTTATAGACCAGACAGTTGTGAACTGCCATGCGGGTGCTGGGATTTGAACCAGGGTCCTCTGGAAGAGCAGCCAGTGCTCTTAACTGCTGAGCCATCTCTCCAGCCCCTCAGCCCGTTTCTAACCTGGGTTCTGGGGATTCAGAGTTAGGTCTTCATGCTTATGTGGCCAGTGCTCTACCCATTGGGCCACAGTCCCAAACCCTGATGTTGCATCTTTTTCTCTTTACCAACCCCATGTGATGGGTTTGTCACTGCTCTGTTGTATTGGTGAAGAAGCTGACAGCATCTTGCTAGTTTATCCGATCTGGTCTTGAACCTGTGCCCTGCCTGCCTCAGCTTCCTGAGTAGCTGGAATAGAATGGATTTCTAAGGAAAAATTCGAGCCTGGCACGGTGGGACACACCTGTGGTTCCAGTACTTAGGGAGGCAGAGGCGGGTGGATCTCTGAGTTTGCAGCCAGCCTGGTCTACAAAGGGAGACCAGGACAGCCAAGTCCATGCAGAAAAACAATGAAAAAAACAAACAAACAAACAAAAAAATTGTCTTAAAAATAAAAGAAAAGAAAAAGAAAGAAAGGAAAAAAAGAAAAAATTCAACTTTCACCTTGTTAATATAATCAAGAAAAATATGAATAGTCAAAAGGACAGCTATTCAAATTTAGGGTTTTTTTCTTTTTGTTTTTTGGAGGGGGGTCTCATTGACTAGGCTGGTCTTAAATTCAGGTATCTGCCTGCCTCTGTGTGCCACCACTGCCCAGCCACTCAGTTTTTCTTAATACCTTTTTAATTTATCTGTCTGTTTTACTTTATGTGTCTGAGTGTTTTGCCTGCATGTGTACATGTGTGACTCTGAGTGCCTGGTGCATGAGGAGGTCAGAAGACAGAGTCAGGTCACCTGGACCTGGGATTGTGGATGGTCCTTGGACTGCCATGTGGATGCTGGGAACTGACCTCACAGCCTCTGGGAGAACAGGTGCTGCTAACTGCTGAGCCATCTCCCTAGCCCCTGGCTTTTCTTTGAAACATGGTCCCATTCTAGCCCAGCCTGGCCTGGAAAGCATGGTCCTCTTCTGGCTTTATTCTCCAGAGAGCTGCACCCCAGGAGCCCAGCCCTCTGTGCCTAGCACTGGGTGATCCACCTGGCTTCTGAGTTTGGTTTGTGACTCCTTAACCTGGTCTGGCCTTCTGAACATCATTTGGCTGTAGGGAAGAGAGAGTCCTCCAAAGCAGCCTCACCTTGGCTGAGAGGGGTGGGAGGGGCTCCAGGAAGACATTGGCCCAGGAGGGAGAAATGACCAAGAACAATAAACAATGGTCATTGCAGGTGACAGGCGCTGGGCTGGGGAAGTGGGAAACAGCTGGGTACATGTTTGCATGTCCAGCATTCACAGAAGCAGCTCTGTAGCCTGTGTCACCTGAGAAGACGCATGCCTTTCTGTCTCCCCTGCCCCATCCCTCCGGGGTGACCTCTTAAATTTAGACTCGGGTTCTAGCCCCAGCTCCCCGGGGGAGGGGGGTTCACCAGAGCCATCCCAGTACTCCACAGAGCCAGACGCAGACAGCCCAGGTTGTAGCAGGCTTGCAAGTCTTCTCAGAACTCCTCCCCATGGGTGTGAAAGGCCTGGGGGGAGGGGGTGGGGAGGAGGAGGACTAGCTGGAGGAGCAGGAGCGTGTTTGTATTTCAACTGGCGGCTGCCCATGAATCACCAATTTCATTTTGTGCTTTCAGCCTGCAAAGCCATCATTTCCACCCAGCCTTGCATGGAGCTGGCGGCCAGAGCCTCTTAGTGGGGCTATAAATAGCAGATCATCAACTCACCTCTTCTGAGCTCATCACAGGCTCCGTTTACTGCGCCTCTTCCAGCGGCCTGCACGTCACCTGTCACTCAGATTCCCCAGGTGACGCTTGGCCGAGAGATGCGGGACATGCTCTTGGTTTGGGAGGCAGGGTTTGGGTTCAGGGTGAAAGCAAGGGCAACGGCAGACTTTTGAAGAGCTTGACATTTAAAACGTCATAATTATAATTTCAGGTCTGTGCGCTTCTCGCCAATTAAACGCAGCAGCGAGGGACTGTCGTTTCTCTTGAGTCCTAGAAACCAAAGGCAGAGGAATCACCACACTTAAACCTAGAAAAAGCCACACAAACAGACAGGAACAAATGAAAGCATCTGTGCTTCCCCGAGAACTTGTCTCCCAGCGCCGGGGAACACAGACATGGCTCTCTGGCTCCTGCCATGACACGACATTTCTCAGGATGCCCTCGCAGGGAGCTCCCTACGGGTCAGGCACCGTGCCTGGCCTCCATGGCATCGCGTGAAGCCATCACAAAAGCCAGATGAAGCTAACAGCCTGTGGACCCCGCAGTGTGCAGGGAGGGGCGTGCTGTTCCAACAGGTGACTTGCTCCTGCACAGGCGACGTTGCAACCCAGCTGCTGGGCGACAGAGCCTGAGCTCTGAGGTAGCACCCTCTCCAATCCCAGGGGGTGAGCACCGTGTGTGTCCACATGGGAGGGACCCCAGAGAGCTGAACTATCGGCCCCTCTCTCGGCTCTACACATCCGTGACTGTGAGCGAGAAAGACACCCACAGGTTCGTGCCAAGTCCCCCTTGGCACCCTCAGGGTACCGCGTCACCATCTTCTCCCAAATACGTTTTTCTTCTACCTTCTCACGAAGGAAAGGCGCCAGTCTCCCTCCTCAGAGCCACACCCAACGCTGGAGATGAGACATTTGGAGAATGCAGATTCCTAGTCTCACCTCCAGACAATCTCAAAGGAGTGCCAGGCAGATGTGGTGCGTGGCTTTAATGCCAGCACTCAGGAGGCACAGATAGGCAGAGTTCCATGATTGAGAAGCCAGCCCGGTCTACGTGAGTTAGAGGATAGTCTGGTCTACAAAGCAAGTTCTAAGGTCAGCCTAGATAGCGCCGTGAGATCTTGTCTCAAGTGTGTGCGCGCACACGTGTGTATGTTCCTGTGTGTATGCATGTGCGTGTGTGTGTATGTGTGCATTTGCATGTATGTACGTGTGTGCGCATGTGTCTGTGTGTGTGTGGAAAGAAAAGCAAGAATTAATGAGGAAGAAAATCTTCATTCACTCTGCTCCAAGCCCCTTGAGCTGGCTTCCACATGTCTGCCCCCTTTCCCTGCAAAGGGCAGAAGCTAGGATCCAGATGCCTGTGTCTGTGTGTCAGTATGTGCATACACGTATGTTGGTGTGGGAGGTGGACTGTTGCATGCAGGTAGACGTTCACGCATGTAGCCGTGTGTATGGAGGTGTGCCGTTTTCAGGACCCGCCCACCTTGAGGTTTTGTGACAGGTTCTCTCGCTGGGCTGCCTGGTTAGGTAGGCTAGGAGCCCCAGGGGGAGTTCTACGAGGGCAGAACTCTATGAGGAGCCTCCTAACTCTCCCTCCCCAGCACTTTGTAAGCGTCCAGCAGCCACCACATCTGGCCTTTCTCACCTGGCTCCCCATGCTTGCTTGGCAAGCACTTTGCCAACTGAGCTGTCTGTCCTCAGCCCCAGGGCTGGATCTCTAAAAAGCCCTATGAGCACAGGGGGTAGTAGCGAATGCTTTTAATCCGAACACTTGGGGGGTAAGGGAGGCAGAGGGAGGTGATCTTTTCGAGATCGAGGCCAGCCTGGTTTACAGAGCAAGTTCTAGGACAGCCAGGGCTATACAGAGAAACCCTGTCTTGAAAAACCAAACAAAACAAACAAACATCCAAAAACAAAGAAACCCAGCAGAACTTCCTTCCTTCCTTCCTTCCTTCCTTCCTTCCTTCCTTCCTTCCTTCCTTCCTTCCTTCCTTCCTTCCTTCCTGTCAAGCTGGCCTTGAACTCACAGAGATCCACCTTCCTCTGCCTCCCTAGTGCTGTAATTAAAGGTGTGTGCCATCATGCCCAGTTTAGCAGAGCTTTGCTGAAACACAGGCCGTCTTGTCAACAGCCTGGGGTCTCTCCCTGCTGCCTGCAGATAAACTGAAGTCTTTGGTGTGGCATTCCAAGCCTTGAGCATTGGCTTCACTCACTCTCTTCCAAGCCCCTTGAGCGGGCTTCTGCATGCCCGCCCCCTCCTCGGCTTTCTAGTTCAAGGCTGTACTGGTCACAGAGGCATTCAATGAAACAACGCTGTTCCCTTCTGAAACTCTGGAGCCCTCAGTACAAGGCGTTAAAGAGCCAGTGCTGAAATAGCCTTGTTCAGAGTATTGTATGTGTGCCTATGACGGCATCACTGGAGAGCTGAGGCAAGAAGACTTCGAATTCTAGACCAGTGTTGACTACATGTACAGGGAGTTCAGAGTCCGACTAGCTGCATAGCAAGACCCCATCAAAAATGAAAAAAAAAAAAAAAAAGTTCTTCCTAATTCTAGAGTTAAGTGGTCAAAGGGACTCCGTGGCAGACAGGACCCGGGCCTTGTGCTTATTCCCATGTTAAAGCCCTCCTCAAGCTTTTTGTTCCTCCTCTCCCTGGGCGGAAACCACTGTTAGGTTTTGTTGCTGTTGTCCAAAAGGTCATGCACTCTATGAATGCCTTTAGGAGCCAGTGCCATCGCCAGGAGTGTTTGAGCTTTGCCCAGAGAAGAATCAAAGAAAAACTTTGCTACAGGCTGGGTGTGGTGGTATAAGCACTTAATCCCAGCACTCAGGAGCATTCTTTGGGTTCTGGGTCAGCCTGGTCTACATAATGAGTTCCAGTACAGCCAGAGCTACATAGTGGAAGACCCTGTCTTAGAGAAGGAGGGGGAGGAGGAGGAGGAGGTGGAAGAGGAGGAGGAGGAGGAGGAGAAAGAAGCTTTGCTGACTGAAAGCAGGAGTTACCATACAGCAGGGCCTGGAAATGATAGCCTTGAAGTAAGTACAAACTGGTGCTAAAGAAGTTCTGGTGGAGAGGTGGGGATGTGGCCTAGTTGGTAGCGTGCTGGCAAGCATAAAGCCCAGGGTTGCCTCCCAGCACCTCAGACCAGTCCAAGAGGTTCAGCTCTGTAATTCTAATACCCTGGAGGTAGATGCAGGATGGTAAGGATTTCAAGGTCATCCTTGGCTACATAGGAGAGTTTGAGGTCATCGAGGGCTACATGAAAACTGTTTCAAGCTAACAAACAAACAAACAAACAAACAAAAAAAATTTCAATTAAATACAGCAGAAGTATGCCCTGTTCTGTCCCGACTGTTCTGTCCCCAAGCCATACTAAAAAATAAAATAAAATAAAAACAAACAAAAACAAAACAACCATAAAGAAATCAAAAGAGGACTAAATCACATGATTTTTGAGAATAGAAAAGAAGATGGAGGCCAAGATGTCAACCCAGTTTTAGAATGTAGGAAGGGACAGACACAGTAGTGACAACCCCAGCAGCACAGGCCTGCAGGGGAGGTGTGGAGGACTCAGGTCAAGCTGCTGGGGAAAGGGAGAGAGGGGTATAAATGAGAGGACTGGAGGAGTCTGGGAAGGCCATGAGAGAGTATGGGGGGGGGGGCACTGGCCACACAATTCCGTGTTCCCTAGGGAACTTGGGTTGGCACATCAGGTGCTGTGCAGCAAGGGTGGGAATGAGGGTGGGTGTGGGAGGGAGGGTGGAGTGGGAGGGAGGGCAGGAGTGTGGGTAGGTGTGGTAGATAGCAATGTTGATGGCTCAGTTTCCTTTCCTCACCCTGCTCCTAGGCAGCCCTCAGCCAGGTTGCAGACCAAAGAGCCCTTTTCTGTAGAGCCAAGCAGGCTCCAGGAGTGACCTATGGGCACAGACACTTCAAGTCCCCAATGGAAAAGCCAACTGAGGATCACTGCCCATGGACGGAAGTCACCATCAGACAAGCCCCACCCAGGCGTCCTGGCCATCTAGTCCCCTCTTCACCACACAGTCCTATAATGTGGCCAGGGCTGGAATCCCCAGACATTTCAGGAATGCCTCAGTCATGAGAGCCAGGGGTGTGACTGTGGGTGAACAGCAGAGGCAGCTGCAGAAGAGCTCATAAATTCTGGAGGAAAACTTTAAAATGCTATAAAATTCTCAGAGAGAGACAATCAGACATCTCAAGGTTCATTATCGAAAAACAGGACGGATAAAGAAAAGACCCTGATTAGCACCGTGAGTTCCAGGACAGCCAGGCCTACACAGAGAGCTCAGCCTCAAAACAAAAAGGCCCCAAGAGAATAGAGAGATAAAGAACACTCGGGTAAAGTGCCGAGGTCCCTAGAATCCGCACAAAGATGGACACAGTTGTGCATCTTTGTGATCCCAGAACTATGGCAAGATGGGAAACAGGGCAGCTCTCGGGCCAGCCAGCCTGGTGTGCACCGCGGTGAAGAAGGGATCCTGTCTCAAACCAGGTGGTTGAGCACCAGCACTCGACACTGCCCTCTAACCTAACGTCAGCTTTGTGGCTCACACACCTGCGCCCCAAATTGAAAGGAAAAAGGAAGGCAGACAGTCACAGGAAGGAAGCAAAGCAAAGCGGGGCTGGAGAGATGGCTCAGTGGTTAGGATCACTGGCTGCTCTCCCAGAGGGCCCAGGTCCAGCTCCTGGCACCCACATGGCAGGGCACAGCACGGATCTAGAGGATCAGATACCCCTGTCTGCTTCACAGGAACCCCCATGCATGGGGACACATGACTTCACAAACACACACACACACACACACACAAATAAATGATAAATAAGTAATTTTTTTTTAAAGGAAGGAAAGAAGAGCTTGGCCTGGTGGCACACACCTGGAATCCTAGAATTTGAAAGGCTGACGCAGGAGGATTACGAAGAGTTCAAGGCCAGGGCTACAAAGCCAAAAGTCAAAAAGCAAACAAACAAAAACCCCAACAGCAACAAAAACAATGTTACCTACCAGTGACATCCACATACTCTAGGAAAACAGACGCAATGTAAACAATGTCTCACATAGCCATGATCGCATAAATAGGAAACTGATGTTGAAGGGACACAATGCTCTACTGGCATACACAAGTCCCTGGCTCAGTCACCACCGCTGCCGGCAACACAGTATTGACTTCACCAAACACTGCAGTAAAGAGCATTGGGAGGGGGG